GCAGAAGACAGACAGGAAAGCAGCGAGAAGAAATGCACGAAGTAAAAGAAAGGGCAGGGAGCAAAGGATGTCATGAAGGAAGCTGCAGGAATGTGGTGAGAATGAGGGAGGTGGCCAGAGCCTACTCACCCATGGGTGATCCGAACGGAGGCCCTCGGGGGGGCATGCCCATTGGAGGGGGTCCAGGATGAGGCATTCCAGGTGGTGGTCGGGGTGGTGGCTGCCCCCCAGAGCCGGGGGGCCCGGCATGGGGGTGTCCTAAGCCATGAGGGCCATGGTGGGCCAGCTGCATCTGAGACATCCCTACAAGAATAAAACCGCCATAAGGAAACAAATGGAAGAAAGATTCTTAAAAAGGAAGGCAGAGAAGAGAATAAAGAAAACAAAGGAAGAGAACAGAGACAGGAAGGAAGCAGCCTCAGGAAGACAAGGGTAGGGACGATAAGGCTGGTAAAAAGTGCTGATCCTGGACCCCATTCCAACGGTCCAAATGAACCAACTACCCATCAACTCCTGACTTCATCTGCTCTCCTGTGATTTCAGCACTGTGATGGTGAGGCAGAAGTATATCATGAGTGGAGTGATCGTCTGTCGATGGGGTTTGTGAAGGCGGCAGAGATACTGTCTGAACAAAGACCTAATTCCAAAGGATGATAAAGAATTTTTCAGCTGGCCAAGACAGTGGGAACAGACCCTTCCAGACAGAAACATTAGCATGTACAAAGCACAGGTGGGTCAAACGGTATCTTGTGCTCCAGGAAACACCAGTAACTCAGTGACCAGGAGCACCGTGCAGGGGCGGGGGCCAGATCATGACCAGCCCTGACTGCCTTGGTCATGAGTTTGGATTTTACTCTACAAGTGAAAGGGAAAACCAGAAGAATTTTCGCCAAGGGTGTGTGAACATCCATGTTTTAGAAAAATTATTCTGTGAAAGAGAGAGAAAACCAGAGCGCAAGTGACCACTGAGAAGGTGACTGGATAAACGTGGTGTGAGACAAAGGAATGAGGGCCTGAACTGGGACACTACAATGTGGGTGGATGCCACGGATATGAAGAGCAGGGTAACAGAGACTGCTCTAACACAGCTCCCAGATTTATGAAGTAAGCAGCTGCTGAAAACAAAGAATACAAAAGGAAATGCAGGTTTGAAGGGAAGGAGGAGAAAGTAATTTCATTTTTAGTCATGTTTGGTTTGAGGCGTCAAAGGGGTAGCAAGGTGGAGCTGTCCATTAAGCAGGAGGATTATGGGTCTGGAATGTTAATAACTAAAGACACAGATCTAGAAGATGTCAAGGAATAATGGAAAATATATAAATATGCAGAAAAGACAACCAAGCACAAAATCCTAGGTGCGAGCAGAGAAAAAGGAGCCTATTAAGGAGGCTGAGATTGAGAAATTAGAGAGAGATGGACGAGAATCCAGAAAAATAAAAGCCAAAAGAAACAAGAATTTCAAACAGAAGAACATGGCCAGTTTCAAGGACAGAGAGGTCAAAGCAGAAAACGAGACGTGTCCCCTAGGTTTGGCAATTAGATCCCTTCTGGGCTGGAAGTCACAGAAAAGAAGTTAATAAAACAAAAAGCCACAAATGTGGATTACTCTTTAGAAAAACTTAAATAAGAAATGGAAACAGAGTGGCAGACGTTAAGGTAAAAAGAATAAAGTATCTTGTTTCCGTTGATGTAAAACAATGTCTGAAGGAAAGGAGAGCTCTGGAACTATCTACTTTTGTCGAGGGACAAAGGGCAGCAGCAGGAGTGATAACAAAGCCCCTCCAACAAGCTTACCCCTCCCTTTCCCAGCAAAGCACACCTACCTGGATGAGGCATCCCACCTGGTGGGAATGGGTGGGGATGTGAGTGTCCATGTCCAGGATGTCCAGCCCCTGGGGTTCCTGCTGATGGGGGGCCATGTCCTCCAGCCCCTGGAGGCATAGGTGGCGGGGGCATGGCTGGGGGTATACCAGGTGGGAGGGCTCCAGGAGGTGGCACTGGGGGTGGGAAGGAGCCAGGAGGAGGCATACCTAAAGAGAAAGTAGAAGGAGAGTTAATGGTATTGAGAAGACAATGTCTTTGGAGAGCTTGTCTCAATCACACCTCTCCTAGAAGGATGACCTCTTCTCCCCTCTTCCCAGTTCTCTAAAGCCAGAAACAGCGTCAGACAACTCAAACAATTTCACTCTCCTGGAGAAACCCAACTTTCTTCTGCACCACAACCATCGTCCCCAGTACCCTTCTCATCACCCACTGACTCGTTGTCCTCCTTCTTCCTGGTCTTTCCCATCCTCCTGTCCCCTCAACCCCAAGACAAACATATTCTGAGTCAAAAGCTTTACCCGGCGGAGGAAGCCCAGATCCCAGGGATGACACCACAGGATTGGGGGCAGAGGGTGGAGGCGGTGCATCTGCAAACAGCTGGTGAGGGCGGTCAGCCTGCGAGAGTGGGTTCTGGGCTGCCAGAAGTCGTTCAGCTGCTGAGCCATGGCGCTCACCCTTAGAGTCCTTCTTAAAGGCATAGGACACAGTGATAGGGCGGTTACAGAGGTACTGCCCATTCATGGCCTCAATCGCTGCATCCGAAGCATCAAACGAAGCAAAATTAATAAAGGCATAACCCTTGGAGTTGCCTGTGTCAGGGTCCCGCATAATCTTGGGGGTTTGTAGGATGACCCCAAAGGCGCTGAAAGTATCATAAAGCAGCTTCTCGTCAATCTCTGGGTCCAGGTTCCCGATGAAAATGTTGGCCCCTACATCCAGGTTTTTGTTGTGAGCTGATGCCTTGTTCACCCGTATTGGCTTTCCATAGAGTTTGATCATGTTCATGATCTTGATGGCATAATCAGCATCCTCCTCACTCAAGAATTCCACAAAGCCGTAACCTGTGTACAGAGAAGGAGGAGAGGTTATCAAATGAAATGAAGAGATTCAAAATGGGGTAAAACTCATGCCCCAACAAGGCACAAACCAGAAAGAAATAAAAACCTCACTTCGATGAGCATGGTTTCTGAAACAAATTACGAGCTGAGGCTCAGAAGAAAGGATCTGTTAAGCTAACTGTTACAAAACTATGTGACTACTGCTGAGCCCACCAGGACCAGGTTGTCCCCTCAATACATAAAAGCAGCTCTTGCTAGGGACTCACCTTGGTGCTGGCCAGTGACTCTATCTTTCGGCATGTGGGTGTTGACCACCGGCCCCGCCTGCAGAAACAGCTCCCATAACAGCGGTTCGCTAACCTTCTCATCCAGGCCCCCCACGTACACAGTAGCATCTGTAGGAGAGTGGAGAAGGTTAGGGTAGGTGGGAGAGGATAACAGGAAAAGGTGACAGGAATATGAAAATGGAACCCAGGGAAGGTCATTGGGGGTGGGTTTAGGGGATAGGAACAAAAACAAACAAACAAACAAAAAAAGTTAGATCAAGCCCTTAAACCTCCCTATTCCCAGGACCTAGAGAATCTCCTGAAGTCCCACATCGTGTCTATCGAAAATCCTATCCTTCTCTGTGGACTTTTTTTTTTTTTTTTGGGTGGGAAGACAGGAGATTGGGCATACGAGGCACCACACATCCAGGCCTCAGCGGCCACCCGGCCAGCCCGCCCCCGGCAGGCCCGGCGGCCCGGCCCGCGCTCTCCGAGGCGATCCAGTCACTCGCCCCGGCAAGGACCCTGCTGGCTCTAGTCGGAGCCACCCAGCTTCCCTGGGCCCATTCCGGGCCCGTCCCCGCTAGTTACCCTGGTTCCGCTCAGAGATCGGCCCGGCCGCCATGGCGAACGAGCTCCCGCCGTCTCCAAGCAGCGACTCCGCCCTCTGACCGCCGTCGCGACTTCCACTTCCGGGGCAGAGGCCGCGGCGGGGTGGCGGGCGGGGCCGCGGCGGGGGAGCAGCCGGAAGCGGCCGGGGCCATCTTGGAGACGCCGAGCCTCGGTGCGCTTCGGGCCGCGCATGCGTCGGAGGGTTGTTCGGCTGCGAGCGGCTCCAGCTGGGAGGGCGGAGCGGGAATGCTCAGACCCGCTAAGGCGGTGCTGGACGTTAAAGACTAACTGCTCCCGAAAATGTGAATCTGAAAGCTAAAAGTAAAACAGCGTTTCACGTATTTTGTGGCCAGGTGATCTTTGTTTTTTCCCTTCGAAAAGAGTGCTGAGGAACCCCACGCAAGGACTCGGCTGCTTTCCGCCCCGGCCCGCTGCCCTCGCCGGATTCGGCCTCGCAGCCCCGGCCTGGCCTGAGGTATTTTGTGTTCCCTTGGGCGGGGACCGCGGAATGTCTGGGCGCGGAGTGCCGTCGGAGCTCGGCTGGTGGTTCCTGCCGGGGCGATGGCGGACGCCCAAGCCGGCGGGGCAGGGATTGAAGCCCGGAGCGTTGCCTCAGCCTCCTGAACACCCGAGCCCCGCAACAACTCTTGATATGCCCCTGAGCTCTTGCCCCATCTGCCCCTAAAGTGGGAGGCACAGAGAAGTGACCCTGTTTCCCTGATTACGTGGGAATTCTGCAGAGCCGCACCCGCCCCCATTCCCTTATCTCTCTGTCACACCCGCCCTCCACCCACCACTCTTTGCTACCTAGGATCCTCTATTCAAACACAAACAATGCCGGCGATGTGTATAAATACCGTGCTTTAATGAACCCTTTAAATAGAAATGTCACTGCAAAAACACACAGTCGGAGGAGGCGGGGTGTCCCCCATAACCACCCCATTATCATGGAGAACTATAAGAAATATTAACTGGAATTAAGCAGCAAGAGGGGTAAGAATGAGGTCACTAGGCCATCTCGTTGGGATGATGACCAGCATCTCTGATCTCACAATTCAACAGCTGATACCCAAAAGAGGTGGTATTGCCTTGAAAAAAATGGAGATCACATTATAGATTGTTTTTGTTTCCTGATTTCTTCAAATCACGAGAAACAAGCAAACAAAATATCTCCAGGAACCAAAACAGGACAAGAGTCGGAGAAGGTTAGCACCACCCACCTGCAGTGGACACTCAAGCCTACTGAGGAAGCTTGTTTAAGGGCTGGAGTGTGGAAGCTGAGGCAGCAAAACCGGATGAGAAAAATCAGGATTAGACAGAACCCTGCCCTGCCTGTGAGAATACCAGCAGTTTCAGCAGGACTGGGAGAGAGTGGTATTTGGGTCTCTTTTCTTGAAGTGATCCTCAAGAGATAGTCTTGGCGTCCATTTCCTTAATAGCTCCTGAAGACGGGATAGCTCATCCTGGAGGCCAGAGACTGTGGGAGCCGACAGGCCCATCTGGGGATGGGGCACAGAGGGGCAAGAGGAATATTATTGTAGTTCTAGCCCTCTGCTTCTAAGATCCACTACTTCGGTGTCTTTAATTCTCTGTCTGCCTCCAGCTGTGCCCTGAGCTCCACTTGATCTAAGCCACAAGCAGTTTCCCCCACCCTCCCAAACCTACCCAGTTTGATACCAACAGGAATGGTACCTCACTTCCCAACACCCCCACCCGCACCCCAGTCCCTTCCCATGCCAACTCCCACTCATCTGGTTCAGCAGTCAAGCCCTTTCTCCTACTCCCAATCTCTTGTCTTCCCTTCTCACCTGGACTTCAGGCCTTCCCCTCAGGTAGCAGCGTTTCCAGAGCCTGATCTGGGGTCCCAGAGTTCCAGGAAGCAGTAGCCCTGGGGGTAACAGGCAAGCCCCCCAGTGTGATGGGAGCCCCCACTCCTGGTCAGCCAGGCTTTCAGTGGAGATAGCCGGTCGAGGAAGCCAACGAGAAGAGACTGCTAGCAGGGAGGGACTGTCCCGCCAAGGACAGAGCTGATTCAGGGGGGTCAGGGCCCCTCTAGAGAAGAGCCACACAGAACTGGGGGGTCCAGGAACCATGAAGCTTGACTATGGGGGAAAAAGAAATCAGTCGGCAACCTAGAAACCAGACCACCCAGTTTTCCCAAGTTGGGCCAAGGAGAGACAGCAGCTGCCCCTGCACTAGTAAGTGGAACTACAAGCTTCTCCTTGAGAACTCTTGATCTACTCTCCTTACTGGGTTCAAACTAGGCCTCAGGACTGACAGAGGCTGATGGAGGGAAAGTTGTAAAAGTGTGTGCACGAGACAGGAAGAATCATAAACAGATGAGGATAGAAAGGATGCCTTCTGTGCCATTCTAGGGTTTCTGTCTTTCTGGAGACAGTCAGGGACCATAAGTGACACCTGCATAAGAGGAGTGGGAGAGCTTCCCCTGGGGAACTAAGACACTCTGTCTTCCCACTTCATCTAGTGGGATGAACCTGTGGGAAAGTCAAGGGAATTTAGGAATTATTGACACCTCACCTGTTGCCTAGGGAGCCAGGAATCTGGGCAGTGCTCTGGGTCATAGCCAGGATTATGGAATTGTAGTATTTGTTCATTGCTGTAGCGTAAACCCCAGTCCCAGACAGAGAGCTGCTGGTTAACAGAGTTCCCAGCTTGGGGCTGGAGGTTTCCTGGGGTGTAGACTTGTGTATAGGAGCTGAACTGGACAGAGGAAGCAAGAAAAAAGATGGTTAAACAAACACAAAATATAATCCTTATCCCAAATCTAAAGAGAAATCATCATGAAACTCTTACCTCTTACTCCAAAAATTCAAATGTAAGGCAAAAGTCCAGTCCTGAGAATGAGCATCAACCTCCCCGTGCCCACCCAACAAGACCTCATTTCTCTACTCAAAACAAATTGAGGCTAAACTTCAGACAGCACTTCTCAACGGGAAGAAAAGACAGGTCAAAAATGGAAGTCACTGACCTGTCCGCTCTGCTTTCCACGCTCCCAGGGATTATCTCTCAGGAAGGTAAGGGTGTCAGGAACCCTGACGCTGTCGTGAAGAGCAAGAAGGAAAAACTCAGAGAATTCAAACTCAGCTGGAAACTGCTGGAGAAGCTGCCAGACACAGTCAAGGAAGAGGAGAAACACTGGGGCCTGAGAAGAGGGAAATTAAGAGGTTAGAAGAGGTGGTGGAGACCTAAAGGGGGAGGATCACAAAATGATGATGGGTGGGAGACACAGGGACAGGGGGTGCTAAGGAGGTCAGGGAATGAAAATCCAAATCGAGGGTAGTAGGGGATTGTGCGACCTCATTTTGGTCTCCCTCTAAGCTCAGCCTAACCTCAGGACTCTCTGACCCAGTTTTCCACAATGGATTATACTATACCATTTTCTCATCCCCGTACTTCTTTAGTAATACCCCCCAATACACTCCCAAATCCTTCTCACCTCCTCGCTGGCCCCAGTTCCCCCAAGCCGGGTCAAGAAGGGGTGTCCAGCTGCCACCCACTCTCGTTGTACTAGCGATTGGAAGCCAAGCAGTGTTCGGGCTTCGGGGGCTGAAAGCAGCTGGACGAGTGAAGAGAGGAGGCCATTGAGATCACGATCACCGCGCTCTGGGTGATAAAGAGGGAGAAGGAGCAAAGAAGGGGGGCCAAGAAACTAGGGCAGGAGAGAATGGGAAGAGGAAACATGGCAAGGAGAAGTGGAGAGGCAAAGAGGGGAAACGTTTTGGGGTAGGTAGGATTGAGAGGGCACATAGAAGTGAAGAGAAAATAAAGATCTTGAATGACTCACTTCATAGACTCCACCTGGGTAGAAAAACCCAGCTTCAATGTAGAAGGCTGAATCACATTTGTCAAACCAGCTTCAGCATTGCCCTTCCCACCCCAACCTCAGCCCCTATGCAGTGACTGAAGGGAGCGGAGGGGCGAGAATCCTAGGGTTCCGGATAACAAAGTACAGGGAGGGGGCAGAGGTAGCATGGAAGGGTGAGAATTAGAGCTCTTGGGTAGTTTCTAGTAGCTGAAGAGGAAGCATTACAAGGGGACAAACGAGCCTTATGGGCCTCCTTCCCTGGGCAGAATCCAATCAGGTGGGTAGACGAAAAAGGGAAGGAGTGGAGTGAGATGACCCAAGGAACTCACCTTGCAGTACTACAGAGCGAACTCTGGAGGTCACTAAGACTGAGATGTCACTGGCCTTTCGAAGACAAGACCTGAGGGACAGAGGTGTAATAATAAGCCTGGGGGAAAACAGTGATGGGTAGTGGGATGGAATAGAGGCCAATGACAAAATCCTGCCCCTTCTTCTAAGGAGAAGCAATCAGTCTTCTTGGGAGACTGAGGAGAGGAATTAATGGAAGGCCATTTAGGAGTCCAAGTTAACAGAAGTTTGGGGAGGACTAAATTATATAAATCATGGCTAGAAGAAGGGGAAGTACCTGATGTAGTCCAACCATCGAGTGCCTTCCAGGGCTGAGAGCCATTTATCCTCAGCAACAGATGAATCTGGTAGAGAGTGGAGGGGTCAGAAGGACAAAGAAATCAGAACTCTGGATTCAGGATAGAGTCTATAGCCCGATGGGTTAAGAATAAGTTAGGTAGTGGTTGGTTGACTAGAGATAGGGGTGGGAATAAGGACTTACTGTAAATGGTCATGAAGTTTCTAAAAATTAGATTGTGATGGTTGTACCCTACTATATAATAAAATTAATTGAACTGCACACTTACAACAGGTGAAGGGTGAATGTTACGGTATGTAAACTATACATCAATAAAGCTGTTAAGAAATAATTAAATTGGGGTCGGGAAGACAGGAAATCAGTGAGCCTGTGTGTAGAAAACTAAGGATCACTGGACTGAAGGTTTACTTATCTGTAGTAGACAAAAGATAAACCAGGTTAGTTAGGGTCAGTAGACCTAGGGGCGAGGGTGGGGGGCCAAAGGTTATTCTCACCCGGCAGGCAGAGGGCCCTCAGCTTCAAGTGGGCAAGTTGGACATCTGTAAGACTGGGGAGCTCATCCATAGTGTCTACCAGGACAACATCTGAATGTCCAGCGTGGAGCATCAACTCCGTTGCTCTGGAGGGGAGGGAGTCAGAAAGTAAGAGAAGGAGTCTTCCCTGAACACCTAACCCTCGATTCCTTCCTCAAACCTCCCCTCACCTGATATCCTCCTTGCTAGGGTCACTGGCTGTATAAAAGCCACCACAGCGGAGAAGATCACTGCCCCCAGGGTGATGCCAGGACAGGCGCTTTGAACGGGTAAGAGAAGGATCATTGTGGAAGAAACTCCTGGTCCTGTCCTACCCTTGCCCCAACACTGACTTCACAGGAATCCCTCCATCCACACTGACCCATGACCTCCCACTGACCTCAGCCATTAATCTGACCCTCATACTGACCGGTCCACGGCCCTGATGGAAGTGACCAAATGCTCTCCTGACCTCGCTGTCCAGAGTTCGGTTAGGGACCCAGAAGTAACGGGGGAGACTGTGAAATTGAGTTATGTCACTGCTTGGCTCAGAGACCTCATTAGAGTGAAAAGCTGTTATTACAAGGAAGCTGCTTTGGAGGAGATATTCCAAGGGATCTCAGGTTTAAAGGTCTAGAAAGTAAAGGGGATAGCTTTTTGGATGTCCTTGGAGACTAGGATTTGTGGGGATGTCTGGCTTTAGAGGATCAAGGAATGGGAATACTGGCAGACAGCAGGGTTGGGGTAGACTGGGGGATCACCTGGTGGCTATGTCGAACCTCTCATTGACAGTGCTGACCCTCCAGCCCCTGGCCCCCTGCTTCTTCCGCTCAGCCTCCCAGTCTTCTGATGTTTCCAAGAGGGGAACAGGTGGTTTTCTGGGGCCAGAACTCTGGCCTGGGGCAGGAGTGAGGACCAGAAAAGGAAGAAGATGAACCAGAGACAGCCCTTCAGCTCTTCTGTCTTCAGCCAGCCTCTGCTTTTTCAGACTCCTTGCCCTTTTCTTACCCCAAAACACCCTCACTCACCAGCCTTGCTCAGGGTCATCCCTGAATACTGTTGGGCTTGACTTCTCTGAGCTCTGGCTTGGACAATGGCCATGGTCACCTGTGGAGGAAAGGACATCCCAACCTTTTGGCTCAGACGGAAGAAATGAAAAACGATGGGGCCCATTGTTGCTCCTCTGTCTTTGCCAACAATAGGGAAGAACAATGAAGACAGTCCCTAGAGGAAGGGACTTCCACAGGTTGTGGGGACTGGGGTCAAGAGAACAAAGCTAGAACCACAGAATGTTAATTCTGGGGGGAAATCTTAGGAATAATCTCATCCAAGCCTTCCCGTTTTTCAGAGAAGGAAACTTGCCCACAGTTAAACACTGCTGGTCATTGGCAGAGGAGGCTAGAATTCAGGCCCCTTACTCTCATTATATTATCATATATCCCAGCCTTTCAGCCTCTCCTTGAGGACAGAAATGGGGGGAATGATGAGAGGGATCCTGGAGGTTGGGGATACTGGAAATTTCCAGGAAGAGGATCCCAAGGACATAAGAGGAGGAAGAGTCCTTGGGTTGGGGAACTCTTACCTGAAAGGCCTGAGGTTCTAGTCCTCCAGCCTCAAAACCAACTCTGAGCAGCCGGAAGTCTCGGCCATGAATCAGGATCTCCTCAGGGATAAATTTAAGTGGAGACCCTGGACGGAGGAGCTGGACTCTGGACAGGCCACTCACTGAAGTCATGAGAGAGCAGTAGAACCATGGATCAGGATCTCTCTAGAAGGAACCCTTCCAGCCCACTCTACCTCATTCCTGGCTGTCCTCTGAGACTAGAGGAAGGATGAGGAGGGAGTCCAACACCCTAGTGACCCCTCACCAAAGCCCCAAACTTACCAGCCTCTAATCGCCCAATGTTGACCAGGGCAAAATCATAATCACTGCTCAGGGGAGTGTCCTAGAGGAAGCACATGACTGATGCTAAAGACACATGTACCTAAAATCCCTTTTTCCTACCTTGGCAGTCCCCAGCCTCCTTAGAGATAGTCCCCATTAACTATTCCTGACATTCAAAAGACAGCCCTTAACCCACAGCCCTCACTATCTCACTGTAGTGTTCGTCGAAATCCTTCCAGACTCCCTGGCCCAGTTCCCAACACCTGCCCTTTGCATTGCCCTAACCATCTCTCTCACCTGACTCCGCTGCCATCCACAGGGCTGGAAGGTGACCCTCAGGTTGGTGCAGATGAGTGTTCCAGGCAATTCGGGTTCCAGTCCCTTCCTTACCCCTGGGGCCCATGCTAGGATCTGCTCCCCTAATGGGGAAGAAGGGAAGCAGATGATGACTACCCCCAGTGCTGCCCACACTTGTATTCTCAGGCAGGAGGCTCTAAAGAGGGAAGGTTAAGATCCTCTCCAAGCCCTGCCAGAATGTATGCTTCTTAGGAAAGAGAAATGGTGCTTTTTTACCTCTGTCACTTTAGAGTCTACAACGGTGTCTGGCACATAGTAGGCACTCAAATATTTATTGAATAAGTAAATGAGAGAAGTGGTAGCAGGGTCAAGAACACCGAGAAAATATCAGGGTCCAAGCTCCCCCAGCCAGCTGTGGACAGAGAAGAGAGCAAGCCTCAAGAAGAAGCACTTCGAGCCAGGAGAGGAACACAGAGGTATCTTTGGCGAGAGTATTGGAAATGGTTTGGGTAGGATAGAATTGTAGGCGTCTTTGGAGATCAGGAGTATTGGAAGGGTATTATTACCTGGAAGGCAGCCAGAGGCCAGGCAACCACCGAGCAGATGACTCCTGGGCTCCGGCATCCTGCTCCTTTGCTCAGACTGTGGTCGGAAGAGCTGAGAATGGTACAGGATAGAGCTCCAGGCCTCCCCGGCCCAAACCCAAAACACCAAACCCACTGCCGTCGAGTCGATCCCCACTCATAGTGACTCTACAGGACAGAGTGGAACTGCCCCACTGGGTCTCCAAGGCTATAAACCTTTATGGCAGCATATAAAGCTTCACAGAAACCATTATGGGAGCAGACTGCCACACCTTTCTCCCACAGAACGGCTGGTGGGTTGGAACCACCAACCTTTTGGTTAGCAGCTGAGTGCTTAAGCACTGCGCCACCAGGGCTTCTCTGTGATTTTTCTCAGCAGCCGCCTTTGGAGGCCTACATTCAGACTCCGGGCAAACTGAGCTCCGTGGCTGTGGGGAGCTCAGGACGGGATGGCCGACAGTAGAGGGAGGAGCTGGTTAATGGACAACGAGAGAAAGAACTCGAGACCCTGGCGAAGGCGGACCAAGCTCCATCAACAGAAGGTGACATGACGGACACACCCTCCCCCAGATCCTTCACTCCTCCGCAACCCCATTCCCACCCTCTTACCGACTGGCCCCCCCACCTTCCCTCTCCTTACCCCTATTTCTGGCTCCTCCTTCTGGGGGGCGATGTTGAAACTCTGGCCCCGGCCCCCCCACCACATTTCTCTGCCTCCATCCGGGGACGGAGCAGGGAAGGGTGGGAAACTGGAGGATGCTCAGTCCCTTTGGGAGGAGGCTGAATCCTGGAGTCGAGGAGAGGGGAGCCAGGCAGAGGGGCGGAGGGGAGGACCCGAGGGGAAGGCGCATTGGAGGCGGACCGAACACAGTTTGGGGGTCTCTGAAGGGTGGGTCCAGCCGGAGTAGGCTCTCGGAAACTTCAGTCGACTCTGGAGACAGCGGGAGAGATGCCCAGCCCCTTAAAGGGGAATACACACAATTTTGGAAAAGTGGGAGATGGAAGAGCCTGAGAGAAAGTCGGGGAGAAATGGGGAACGGGAGAAAACTACCCAGACTCCTTTTTCACCTGACCCCCAGATCCTATTGTCTTCCTGTTGGTGAGCACTGGAGACCGTCTGATGGGAGCAGTAATACCACTGATTAAACCAGGATCATGTGGGGCGCATCTGGGGCGCCTCTGGACTGTCTCCGTGATGGTTTCTCTGGGAAGCTCAGCGCTCTGAACGCATCTTCTTAAAGGGAGGAGGAATGCGAAGTAGTTCAGCCTTCCTACCGCCTCCCCCCAAAAACCTACAAAAATGGTTGAGAAGAGGAAATAAAATTGGACCTCAGGGGATTTTTGTCAGGGGAGGCCCAAGAATTGGGGAAGGGGGCAGGTTAGGTGTTTTTGTATATCCTTTTCCAGAGAGCGTGAGACAGACCTCATGGGAATGGTGGTGTGGAGACGCAGGGAAAGAAACTGAAATACCTTCTGGATGTAGCGCCAAGCACAGGTGTGCACGGTACAAGCCTGGCGGTGGGGGTGGGAGGCCCAAGGAAGAGATCTTCCCACACAACCCTGCCCTTCTCTCTCTCTCTGAGACACACACACACACCACACAACACATTCTTTCTCACACACACACACGCCCCCCAACTGGAAACTAGAGCCCCTTCCAGGTACATGACCCCTCCCCCTCCAACCCAGACACCAGATCTCCAAATTAATGATTCATGTGCAGGACTTTGAAAGCGGAGGGCTGGAAACCTCTGTTCAGCTCAAAAATCCCCTCCCTCCCCCTCCCCCTCACAACTCTAGAAGCAAAAATGGGGGGGGGGGGCTCGAGGAGAGAAGTGAAGGGACTGCAGCTGAGGGTTACTGGGGGGTAAGCCATGCAAAAATCGGTATTTAGACACGAAAAGGCCAGGAAATACAAAATAAAAAAGTTAAATCAGCTGCTGTTTTATTGTTCTTGAGTCCATACAGAGGCAACAATCCTTAGGTGGGGGCCCCATTTTCCAAAGTGACACTCAGTTCTCCCCCCACCCCAGCACAGACACCCTTCCGGCCTCAGTCTTAAGAGTTGCCGGTCACCTCTGGGAATAACGACACCAGGAGACAGGGAGTCGGTCCGCAACTGGGAGACGCGAACCTGCTCAGACGGCGGCCCGAGCCCGATTCCAGCAACCCGGAGAGCGCCGGCACCACCCACCACTCCTTGCCCTGCTTTCCGCGAGCCGCAGCCTCCTGGGGGGAAGAAATTCTTCGCCAGGTCTGCTGAAACACCGAAACAAGAGCATGGAAGAGGTGGGCCCCAACTTTAAAATCTCTTCCACGTCCCTTCTCCCCGCTACCCTTCTAGAGCCTCCTGCTCGTCTTAACATTCAGAGGGCTGGCAGCATCGGAGAACAGGGGAAAACCGTCCGGGGAATGAGGGCGAGTCACAGAGGGAGAGAACGTGGGCGCCCGGAGCAGCGCCAACCAGGAGCGCACAGCGGGCAGCAGCCGGGGTTAGGGAACGACGCCTCCGGCCCCCGAGACACACCCACAGCCGAGGGGTCCAGGCCCACTCCCAGCGACCCTGCAGGGCACAGAGCTGCCCCCTAGGGCTTCCAACGCCGTCAACCTTTATGGAAACCGACTACCGCGTTTTTCTCCCGAGGAGCGGCCGGCGGGTTCGAACCGCCATGTTGGTTGGCAGCTGAGCGCTTCAACCACTGCGCCACCAGGGCTCCTTTGCTGAGGCTTAGTGGATGAAAACAAGGGTGGAAAGGGGCAAGAAACGGTATCAGACTTTCCATTTTCAGAATCCTGGTCTGGGTGCAGGTTTACGCCGTTTGAAGGCTGCTGGGAAGGGCAAGAGGGGTGGGGGGACCGGTTAGGGGCGGG